CTGAGTCACAATTTACTCATGCACAAAATAAGAATACAATTATTGTAAGCTGTAAATGAGAATTAAATCAGGTAATATACATAAAGTATTTAGTATTGAGACTGGTAAATTCCAACGTTGGTAGAAGGCAGATAAAGCGCGTAAATTGGGTTCATGTGCGCCTTAATGAAGAGGCTGGAAGTGCTCAGTCGCACCCATCACTGCTAATAAGGATGAGGCTCAAGTGCTGCTGACTGTCTAGGGGGGCAGCCAATACAGATTTTGATTTATAATTTTTCTATTTTTAATGTTAATTTCTTCATGTTGATTCCCTCATTTGAATCACTGAGAAAATCATTTCTTGGCCAAGCTAGTCTACAATGTCATTTTGTGACCTCTGTCAGACATCTTCAGTGTTTTCCATGGACATGGACATCCCTAGTCAAAATTCTAGTTCAGGCGATGTTTTCAGTTACCGTCTTACTCTTCCCTTTCTCCGCACTCTTGCTATCCACCCCAGGCATTGTGCTATGAAGAGACTACGACTGGAGTGGCTTTGCTGGACTTTTTGTGCCAAATAGCCCTCCAGAGCCAAGACCTCCAGGTGCAAGTCCAGTCTATGCCCTCTCTGAGGAGGCATCCTAGGCTTCACCTAGCTCATCAGTCCAAACTGACATAGCTTATGCTTTGGCCCACACCCAGTCAGACAGAGATCTAGAAATTCCTCTAGAGCTAAAACTACTCTAAAAAATAAGCCCTATATTTTAAAAGAAAGAGGAGGACAGGGAAAAAAGGAGAGAAATTCTGAAATTCTGGCTTGCTTAATAGAAAACCAATCTTCCATCTGTGTCAGTAACAACTGGCAGATACAATTGAATTTGTCCTGTGTGGGAAAGGAAAATAAACAGACCACACTGAAATTTAATTTACAAGAATGAATACAGACTTCCCTCTAGTAGACCAGCTAGTTTGATTGGCAGGCATGAGAGGTCCTACACTGGCCACTTCTAGAGGTTCCCTATAACTCAGTTCTAATTATCAACTGAAGGGTTAAGTGGGAATATATTTTCAAGTATGAAACATTTATTCAAATCTATTAATGCATTTCTCCACTTCACCCAAATAGAAATCTCACAGTATAAACAATTAGATATATAGACTGTTTTAATAAGAAGTATACTTTTGAATGATATGCAGTGTCTGGTACAGTGAAAAAATGAAAGAATTTTTTTAAAAGAACAAACAGCATGTGAATATTCTGAAAACTTAGTCTAGGAAAAAGTAAATATGAATGTTCTCTCTAGTTGGAAATGACAAAAATTCCTAATCATGCCAGTTTGCTAAGGGACAAAGACATAATCAGGACAGGGGCCAGTTGTGAAAAACTTGTACATAACTGGAACTGAAAAGACATTCAAGGGACAGAGGTAACCCTGAGAGCTAATTCTATCCTCTGCTCTCCCTCACAGTGAACACGGCTTCATTTCCCATAAACAATTTTTTCCTGCGTATCTGTTCTGCACTGCTCTCATTCCCATCCACTCATTTCCCAGTTCAAATTCTACAAAGAGTGGTCTGACTGATTTAGATAACAGCCACTGTTCCCATGGGGCAGAGCCCTTCATACCACAAACAGGGTCACTAGCCAGCTGTGGACAGACCACACTCTTTAGGTCATGAACCCAGCTGTGTGCACCATCAGTAGCCATTCTTGCATACAAAACAGAGAGCTGCCTTAGTAAATGGGCAGAGGCAGATAAGAGCTATCAGCTGAAGAAAGAAGTTAGGCATAGAACACACACATTGTTTAAAATATCTAACAGAAGATCAGACTTTGATTGATAAAAATCCTCTTATTGCTTGTTTTATAAACTATAATCTTAACAGATTCTAACCAACATGGATAGGACATGTTTTTCTAAATGCTGCTTTTTGTACTTTGTATAATTTAAATATATTTGCATAATCCAATTAAGCTGTGTGCTTTTAGCTTTCTTTCTGTTAAAGCATACAGCTGATTTGTAAGAAATTGCATTACATTTTCCTAGTCCCTGGGACTCAAGTCTTAAGTAAGTGTAAGCTCTTGCATTACTCACATATAATGGTGTTATGCAGTCCTGAAAGGGTTAATATTTCTTTTTTTAAAAGGCAAATGCATCAATCTGTCTGGTGGAACAGTTTGTATTTATATTGCATTTTTCTCAAATGGAACCTTTATCTAATCCTCACAGAAATCCCCCTGACAAAAGTATTTCTCATTTTATGGATGAGGAAACTGTTATAGAAAAGCGACTTACCCAAAGACATCCACAGCATAAGTAATGTAAGGATTAAAGCTTCTTATTCAGTGTCCAGCACTAGTAACTCACTGCATTCCTTGATATCTGTACATAAAATGTGCTTTTTTCATGAACTGATCCCAATGAAAAGGTCCCTGAAACCAAACGTGACATTGAGAGAGAACCCCCTTAGTCCTGACACAGTGCCAAAATTACATCAGATGGAGCCACACTCCTTTTGGTTTGTCGATATTTGACATGATCCTGATATTTGACTGCATCCTGAAGTCAGAGATCTTTCTCAATATCCCCTCAGGACTTTATAGCACTTTAAAGCTAGATCTAGGACAACTTGTCTCTGACCCCAACCCGCATCCTTCAGCAGGGGCTCCAGCTTTCTGAATACTTCTAGTCAACAGGGCTTGCGCTCCCACAAAGCAACGAGTTTCACTCTTAGACAAGTAGTCGGAATGTTCTAGGGTTTGGTGGGTTCATTTTGTAAATTCCACTGATAGCTCCTTCTGCTGCACTCTTCAATATAAAAAATCTATTTTCTTTTCTATGTAATACCTTTACAAGGATCTTGAGAAAACTCTTAAGACATCACTACATCTTCAATACTTTAGGTAAAGAACCTAAATTCTTGTATGGGATGATTTCCAGAACTCTTGTCTGTTCTGAGTCCTTCCCCTCTGGATTTTTAATAGAGTGCATGTACATTTCTAAATATAAAATCTGCCATTTTTCTTTTCTTGTTAATAACATATTAGGTCACTCTTTCGGTTTCCACTGTATGAATTGCTATAATGTTCATTAATAATTTCCATGCCATTTGACAATCTAAAAAATATATAATAACCCTATAATTAATGCATTTAAATTAAAATTATTCTAAGTACATTATATATCCTAACAACTGAATAACTGAACCAAAAATACAATGTTGGTACCATAAGATAATCATGAATTATATACTATGGTATTTATTACATTAACTCCAATGATCATTTATTGGTTAAAAAATAATAATAGTATCATTTATAAATATAGTAAAAGTATACAGACTCAGTCTCTATTAACTCATCCAATATCTAGTTAATCATGTACTGTTGGTTCTTAATGAAAGAAGATTTATTTTTGAAAAAAGAATGCACAATATATCCGATGTTTCAGGAATTAGAAATTCAATCTAGTGACCATCTCCCAGAGCAGTTCCAACCAATGAAAGTGTTTTTTTAAGTCTTCTCTGTCTTATATTCATCCAAAAAAATTCAGTATGTTTATCAGCACAATCTTATTCCAAAGTAGTTTCCTTCTTGAAATCCCTCCTTTTCCAGTATTGATTTAAAGCCACTGCAAAAATGCAAAAGGTTAATGTGTTTCCAAGTCACTTATTTCCACACTTGAAGAGGGAAACAGGTTTCACACCTGCTGTGGCCTCCATGATGCCTTCCTTCCAGGTGGCCAAGCAGAGTGGAAGTGGGGTATGTAGGCCTGGTGTGAGGCAGCCAGGCTGGAAACAGACTCAACCAGGCGTGTGGAGAGCAAGCTCAAGAGCACGACTGCTTCCACATTTACTGAAAGCAACCACAGGAGAACACCGGCTCTAGACTTCACAGTGTCCCACAGGCACACATTCCAGAGCAGAATTTGACCAAGTACCTAACGAAACCTGGCAATTTCTATATAAAGTGCAAAGAGAATGATTAGCAGAAAAACTTAGACTATTCATTTGGGTAACTACAAAAGAGAGACTCCCGCGGTCCATGTGTGAAGTTGGAAAGCAGTACGTTGTGCAGTTGACAAAGCTTCACCCGGACGTCAGAGCAAGATTTGTCTTGTATTTTAGATTTCTCTTTCATGAGGACGAGGCAAACGCTGTGACCATCTGTTCCCACAAATAACATGCCAAGTGGATAAAAAGACACCCATCCTGAACTGCAGTTGATGGAAATCCATTGGTTTTAGCTCCTATTGAGATTTTAAAGTTGTGGTTCTGCTTTGAATCTAAGAAAAAACAGTAAATCTTTTTTCATCATATTCAACAAGCTATTGAGTATTTATTTTATAATTAATGGCTTATTCACAGATCAGATTAGGCTGTGACTAATTCTTAAAAAGCTTAGACTTGTAATAATAGAGGGAGTGTCATTTTAGAAGGCCATGAAATGTCTCTGGAAAACTGGCTAAGGTTCTAGGGTCAGTTTAGAGTTAATATAATCCAAATGTTATGGTGATAAAGAAAAAATTCTTATTAAAATGAAAGAAAGGAACCATTAAAAATGGTCATTTAACTGTTACTAGCGGAAAAGTAATAATCCAAATGTAATACCCATATTGTAGCTTGAAGGAACAATGGTTTTACATGGTGGTGCTGTTATTTGTGTGACTTTATAAGAAACAGTCATTGACAGCCTCTTAGATACTATTTCACAGGTTCTGCTTGTTTTATACTCAGTTTTTTTTCTGATTTTTTAAACTTAAATTCCATGGTCTATTTTTATCCTTTCTTCTAAGGCAGGTTTTCTTTCAAAAAGTATATGAACACAAGTGCCCATAGCTATTTTGGGGTCGTGACTCCTTTGGAGAGTTCAAGAAAACTCTCGATCTTCTCCATATTAAAAAACAACAACAACAACAACAAAAAAAAAGTGCAAGCAGCACAGAGACTCCTGGGTTCCACCCCATAAACAGACTAGACATCAGTGGCCAGAGATAAAGAACTCTGCTCTGAAGTGCGTTATGGTATTTGTCCCAGTGTTGGTGGATATGGGAAAACGACAGGCTGCTACTGTCTTAGGTAGCAATATGTATGCTTATAATGCTACATAATGTCACAGACCTGAAAATGATTTCTCTTTTCTTTTCATTTTTTGGGGGCTCAGTGGATAAAGAGAAATGGGGAAATATGCCCTAATCCAAATACATAGAGAATAAGGATCTGTCTCTCACACTTCTATCAAACACTTCTTGATATAAAACAACATAGTCAAAGTGCTAGTTTTTAACCTAAAAGCTACGAGGTACTGAAAAAACTTATAAATGTATAAAAAGAACCCAAATGAGAAATGTAATGAAGCAATTTTCATTAAAATGCCGTACACACCTGAAATGTAGTCCTTCCACACAGACTTCAAAGGTGTGATTACTCTGACGGTCCTTGGTACCCTGGGTAAAGCAAAGAATTGCAAGGAGGGCTTTTTATTTAAATCTAGTGAAAGCATATTTAGTACCACATTTCCCATCTTCTGCCCAAAACTACCACAATTCCAAAATAAAAATAGGTCATCTGATCCCAATTTGGGGGGCAGGCTCACAGAGGAAGTGGTCTTTTAATAAGTAAAGAAAGAATTCTGGGACATCCGGGGATTGACTTTTTTTATTCATAAATTTTAAGACTAATTTTAAAATTCATGATTCCTTTTATTCCTGAAATACGTGCTTTAAAAGTTCAGTATATTGAAAGACTATGTAAATTATGGAGAATATCATGTACTGTAAAGGATTTATATGGTTAAAACTTTTGCAAAGTGATCACACCTTAATTTACCATTTTCATAAATTCCAATTTTCAATATAGGCTTTGCTTAAATTTTTAAACTATAATATATTTCAGTACAATAAGATTTATGATTTTGGTCTTAATTTCAATTTTCTAAGTACTGTACAGTCAATTAAAAATAAATTAGAGACTATGGGCAATTGTACTCTGTCTTCTTACCTTCTATATTTCCTTTTAATATTAAGTAATTTACTTCCATTAAAAACTTTTGCAATCCAAATACTCACCAGCAAATTGATTATTCTCTGGGTAAATTACAATTTAAACCATATTAATTGGAAATTATATATGTAGTTTTGACAAAAGAAAACTTGACTTCTGAACTGGAAATAAAGCTAACATATACTAGTTTGTATTACTTCTTCACAAATGTTGTCACAGTTAAGTATAATCTAATCAAAATAAAGGATTTTATTTCAGAAAAGATAGGATGTGAATTCTAAAATAATGTCAATGGTGGGGCTGGGGGTTTAGCTCATCGGCAAAAGCGCCTGCCTGGCAAGGGCAAGGTCATGAATTCGGTTCCCGGTACTGGAGAAAAACCAAAAAATAAAAAAAAATAAAAAAAAAATAATGTCAATGGCATCATTTCTGTCTGTTTTGCTTTTCTGAATTTTATGATGTATCACTTTTTGCCACAAACTATGAATACCTGAGCAAAACCAAAAATGCATTATAGATGGCGAATGCTGATTCTCAGCTTTGTAAATATCAAAAAGTACACCACGTAAACTTTTTATTACATAATACCTGGACTTTCGGTATGTTTTTCATTGGCCTGACTATGTGTACAGGTTAACTTCTCCTGTGCAAGGTCCTACTATGCTTACCAAGAATTCCTGGGGAGGCCTTTCTAGAGATTTATTCTGGGAGACAAGCAGAAACTCTACAGTAGATCATGTCCGACATAACTATGTCGAGAGTAACACATATTCTCTGTATGTATGCTGTTTATTTGCCATAGATAAAATCTCCAAGAAAAACTCCTTCTGTGATTTGCCTGCAAATCCTGACCCTCAGTGTCCAGCAAAACTACCCACAGTGATGTTACAGCAGAAGGAAATGGGCACTGGAAAAGAAGATCCAATCAGGTGAGAATTTAATAAAACACAAAAGACACGTTGGAAATATTGCTCAGCCTGCACAAAACAAAAATTAAACACCAAGTTTCCCTTTAGATGAGCAAGAGGGCAAGAGAAACACAGTTACATAATGCAAGACAATGGGGCCAGAATGAAATGTCTAGTTCCATCCAGTTCTTTGTGCCTTACTAGCCAGGCGTAGCCACTAAGCAAGTGCTCCAGGAAGAGGTTGGGCTCTAGGCCAAATCACACCCACAGAAACCCTGCAGTAATATGTCTGAGTCATTGTGTCATCATGGAAACAGCCCACATATTTACTAGGCATGAATTTTTAAAAGACGGTACTGAAAAGAATTTCCAAATTCACAAGTAGCTATTTCAGTTCCGTAAATATTTCATTGTTCCAAAAGATTTTGATTTCCTTTCATCTATGAAGGAAAGTGTGGCATTACAACCAAGGGTAATTACAGAACCAGGCAAGCTTTATGCCACTGAAGGAATACAGTTTCATAAATACTTTCCATAAAATTATTGGAAATATCACAAAAGAGATGTCAACTTAAATGTGAATCAGTAAATCCACAATAAAACACAAGGAGCACCTTTATTTTGTCACTTCTTGGCATGTTATGTACCTGCTGATCCAATTTGAATTGCTTAACAAGAGTTGATATAATTGTCATCATCTTAGTACACAAAAAGCATATTCTTATTTATGAAGGAAAAAGTACCTATTCTTCTATCCCATCCTATCCCTCCTGCTCTCTTAGCAGCTTCTCTTGTTAAACCATCTATTTTCACTAGAAATTGCCATTATTATCTAGGACTCCTGGTATTATTGTTTGAACAATATGCATCAGAGAGAGTGCATTTTTAGTGAACATAAAATTAGTTGTATAGGCAAATAAACACAAGCTCACACACACACACACAAATGCTATTTAACAGAAATAAAAACTGACACATCATTTAGGCAGAGAGAAGATGTTTCAACTCTAAGGTAAAGGCTAGAATCTTACAACCGGATAAATAATTGTGTATGTTATTTATATAATTGTTGGTGTTTACAGAAAGGTTTGCTCTGCTATTAATGGGTCATCATTATCTTCATTCTGCAGATAAGCGACCAAAGCACAGAGAGGTTAATTGCTTCGCTTATAGTAATAGGGTCAGCTCAGATAAGATTAGTCTGCAGAAGACTTGAATTCCTGAGTGGTACTTTTCCTCCCTCCCACCAGTATACTCCCCTTCCATCAACAGCTTAGCCTGCCACACTAATCTGTCCTCCCAGCATTTATTTTAATATATTTAAGTTTTTGCAGTAATAGGTTTTCAAGAGACTGAGTTGAATCCATAACTAATACTCTGGAGAATATATTCCTCTTAGTCTGTATTCATTCCTGGCATAGTACTGTTACTCTGCAGAGATGTGGAAATGGAAAGCTTCCAGGTGCCCAGAAAGTAGGTCCATCAGCATTGCTCAAACGCACGAAACTCATTGGCATGCCCCATCAGGTCCTGCCTGGTCGGCCGCTACCAGATTACCTTGTTCTCTCCTAACACACAGCTCCTGTCCTGTCTTCCTGTCTCGCTGCTCCAGCCAAACCTATCCCATCTTAGTCTCTTGTACTACAGGGTCATGGCCCCTTCTGCCATAGGGCTTTGCACACATTGCTCCCTCTAATTGTTCAACTCTTCCCACTCTTGCTGGTCCTAATTAACTCCTACTCACTCTTCAGATAACAGTCTGACCATTGCGTCCTTTGGCAGTCGTTTCTAGACCTTCCTAACTAGCCCATATGCATTTATTCACAGTATATGTCAATGCTGCAATTCACCTGATTATCTCAGTCAGCTCCATCAGTCTCACTTCTCAACTATATATTCTTCATGACTAGCACCACCGGTGTCTGTTTTGATGGTAACTGTTATGCCCGGTACCTAGCTCAACATCTGGCATGTGGTAAGCATTCAACAAATATTGATCAAATAAATTAATCAATGAATCTAAATATATTGGATTCATTTCTCTAGAACTTTTACATTTTCACAACTGCACAGCTGCTTTGTAAGGAGAGAAGCAGACACAGTGGTGTGCAAGGTTCTCTTTCCCTGCTCACAATCCTTGGTAAGTGCAAACACAGCACCACATTACAAAGATCATTAGTCAACAGTCTAAGGCTCTGAAGTCTTGCTTTCATATTCCTCTTCTTGCTTGGCTTTCTGTCATTATCCCTGTGCTGAACTGGCAGAACTGTTTGAATCCAGATCTTTTCTGATGACTTCCTGACAGCTCTTTCTGCAACATAAAGAGCAATGCAGCATGAGAATTATTGACAGGCTGAGTAGGCTCACATTAGCTTCTAGCTCTGTTTGTTCTTAGATGGCTGTTCGCACCTTTTCTCAGGACTAAATGAAAGCCACCTGCACTGAAGGAGCAACTTTATTAAAAGAAGAACTGGAAGTTCCAGTGTCATCTTGGACCAAAATAATGGGATCTCATAAGACTTAACAAAATTTTGTTTAAACCTCATGAGCATCAACAGTTCCACATCTAGAATCTTACAAAGCAGTTTGTGTATATGACCAGATAATATCAAAGACCAAATAACTGTGTACTGAAAATGTTATTTTACAATAGTCTCTATGAGGGAAGCTCATCTTGGTACATGCAGTTATTAAAACTCAACCTGTTCAACCTTGACCTTGGGGAAGGTCAAGTTTTTAAAGGGTCTTTCTCTGAGAAAAACGTGAAGGATTTAATTTATGGCAGGCACTAAATAAAAAGTGTAAGTGACTAGTTGGCACCTCAGTTTTTTTACTTTAAGAAGTGCAGTTTTTAATAAATAACATTCTAAAGTAGTTTTCTTATCTAAGTGCATTTACTTTATCCTGGGCAGAAACTCTGGGCAGAACAGGGATTGATGTGTCCAGATCGGTGAGCAGGTACTGAGGACAATGCATATTAGCGGTTTTGCTCTCTCAGGGTGACAACTGCCGTGTGAGCTTCCTGATTATATCATTGTATGTTTCTGATTTTTTGAATCTTTTTTTTTTTTTTTGGTAGCAGGAATCAAAATAAGGACCTTCTGTTTGCCAGGCAGGTGCTTGTGCTGCTGACTGTTTTTTGAATATTGAGGGTATTCTGTGGTGCTTGTGACTGAAAGTAGTGCCTCTGCACTGGGCTACATCCCTAGCCCCTCTCCCCCACTTTTTATATAAGTTCTTGTTAACTAGCTAAGTCGTTCATGCTGGACTCAAACTTCTGATCCTTCTGCTCAGTTTCCCAGAGAGCTGAGATTACTGGATACACGACCACATCTGGTATTTCTTTAGCTTTTATAATGCTCAGGAGATGGAAGAAGTGAACACCATGATGAGCGCAGTCATAGAGATTACCATCTGTATCATTCAGTGCTCTCCAGAGAAACAGGATCAACAGGATGTACATGTACACATATTGAAAGAAGCTCATTGGTAGAATTTAGTTGATAAAATTATAAAGTCTGAAAAATCCCGAGACCTATAGTCAGCAAGCTGGAGACTGCAGGGAGCTGACAGTGTAATTCCAGCCCAAGTCTGTGATCCAGAAGACTTGATGGTATTTGTTTCAGTCCAAAAGTTGGCAAGTATAAGACTTACAAACTGCCAGTGTTTTAGCTTCCTCTGTCAAACAGGAAAAGAGCAATTTCCATGTTCAAAAAATCAGGCACACAGAGCCCCTGTTACTCTCCAGAGCATCAGCCTTCTATGCAGGCCTTCACCAGTCGCACTAGACCTCTTCACATTAGGAAACATGATATTTTATGCAGTCTACTGATTTAAATGTTATTTTCATCCAAAACCCTCACCAAGACACATACAGAATGTTTGCCCCAACATCAGACACACTGTGATCCACTCTCCATTGTGCACTTAAAGAACTGAAACTGTACCCAACCTGGCTTTTCTGATACTGAAGAACTATGTTGTTTCACTATTTCACACCAGCACTTACCCAAAACTTTTACATACAGACCCTCCAAAGTCTAAGAGCACAGAACAATGATCTCCATCTTGCCACAGAACAGATAAAAATCTAATATTAGCTACTTACAGAATTGAGCATCCAGTTTATAAAATGTTTCACTGTGCTCTTGCCTCAAATACTGTCTTGTAAGAATAAAAGAACCTGGTTATATATTTATGTATATTATTACCTATATGAAACAAAATGGGCAAGGGTTTTGTTATCATAGATATATGACTTTCATAAAACAAGAATCACTTCTGTGATCTTTTATCCAACCTTCAATATTAGATTCTAAATACATCCTAAAATTAATTTCCTACACACAGTAAAAATACTTATCTCAAATAGGTGTCTGCCAAAGAAGAGATATTTTTTAAGATACCCTAGTATTACATGTCCATGTTTCTGACTGGAATTCATTTGTATTAAACTAGGTTTCTTTTATCCTTTCTTTAATCCTTTCATAGCATTTTCTAAATTGTCCATCTGAGGAAAAGAAATTCTCTGCAAATCTTCCAGCAGGAAAGTAACCAATTTTTTATCTTGTGAGATGAGTCAGTAGGGTCCTAAAAGATATGGAGCTCACCTCTGGAAAGACCCACTGATGCCATTTGTCCATTACCAAGAAAAATAACCTGTTTCTGGCATTTTATTCCAGCACGTCCTTAAATATATATAT